GCACCCATTTGGATAAGGCTACAGGAAGGGCTGTTCTGAACTTTGCTCCTGGAGATATGTCTTTAGCTGTAACCATCTGTTTCTTTCTTTTCTGCTCCTGCAGTTTTGGTGTACACGTAAAAATGAACTTGCAATGAAGTCTAACTCCAGAACTTAAAATAATCTTGGGAAAGGTTTCATTCCACATCAGAAAACATGCTATGCCTACTCTGATATCTCTTCAGTCTCTGCCACCTGCCATTACCAAGCAAAAGGATGATGTCTATCTCAGAAAGCTGATGTCAGTAGCAGAGTCAGCACTGGATGGACTGAATCAGGATACAGAAGCCTTCTTCCAACTTGGTGCTGTTCAGATGTGTTTGACTACAGCTCCTATTATCCCAGTCAGGAGAAGGCTGGGATAAGGCATAGCCATGTGGTAATATATTTCTGACATTCCAAAGATGACTGATGGTAAATTGCCTACTACACACATCTTTGGGTGAATGGTTACAGGACAGCAAAATAATCTCTGTTGAATGTGAGAACCAATTGCTCTGCCAACCATCATGTCTTAAGGTGCTAAACAATTCTATCTGTGTTTGAATTATTTTATTTTCCATACAGTCAGCAAAAATGTGCCAAGGACAAATTATTCCATGACTTCAGACTCTTTTATCACATGTCCTTCCATTACTCCCTCTTAGTATACATATTTGCCCTTTGATACTGGTCAAAAAGTGCTTCTGTTAAGGAATACAATGAATCAACTTGCCACTACACTCATCTCAAATGGGCTTATTCAGACTCTTTGTAGGAAGACACTGATTAATACAGCTATGAGATCTGCTTATGGGATGGATTGTTATATAGTGGGTGGATGGAGTGGGGAAATCAGGTTTTCTTCTCCCAAAAGTATTTCTTCTCCCCACAAACTTTAAGCCTTATATGTAAATACAGATGACTTACTTGGAATGAGGGTGGATTTGTGTCACCCATGCAGATTTTTCCTTGACTGATTGTGCATGTGATAAATTATTTCATTTACACAGTCTTCCTGAATTGGTGTCTTCCAGCTAGATCAACTCCCAGACTTTCCTACCTGGTATTCCTAGAAGGCGTCAGGGTGGAGAAAACTGTTCTGTGTACCCTGTCATTCAATTGCCTTTCAGTTTCTATCCATTCTGATAGCACCAACCACTCTTTTGATAAAGGGGAGGTTTATGTTTAGCTGTGTATATTCACTTGCTGCTCTGCACTTAAAGCAGTTTATTCAGGGGAAAAATGTTTCTGTGCCCACATATCGTACCAATATTTCTGCAAATGATGTCTACATCTTCAGAAAATTAGGCCTTTGAGAACGAGGGAGGAATTAGCTCAAGGGCTTGAGAATGTTTGTAGATTCCAGCCCCCATCAGCCCCAGCCAGCATGGCCAATGGTTAAGTAAGATGGCAGCTGCATTATACCATCTGGAAAGCCATCTTATCTCTTAGTAGGTGAACCTTTCTCCATCTTTTTGCCAGAGAAAAGACTGTTGCCTGCATGATGGAGCACGCGCAGGAGCAGAGCATGCATAACTTTGGGAGATTGTTTGGATAATACTCTTATAAGTTACTCAGGAGGGAGCAACAGTTAGGAGAGGCGAGAAACAAGATTAGAGTGTCTTCAGAAAGATTTATTGACAGTCTGACAAACTGGCAATTAAATAATTGCAGTGCCTTTTTTAGAGATTGGAGGTGTGTGCAGGGAATGAAAGGTAAAGTTGTGATGGGCCAAGAAGATTGTGTAATGCTCCTTCTGAGGAAGAAAGAAGAACTGCTTTAATGGAAGTCAAGAACCTGAAAGGAGAAAGAAGAAACTGTTACTTTCCTTTCTTGCGCCCTATTTGAAATAGAAAAAAAAAAAAATTCTTTCAGTAGCTAGAGCTCCACTGGAAACTGAAAGGTAACAGAATACAGGAAAAAAACATGGCAGTCAGACAGCTAGATGGACAGTATTCCAGCAGGGCTGCTCTCCTGAAGAGAGTAGACTTCTTTTCCCTCTACCTCTCGATGGCTATGTTACAGCAATTATTGTAGGGAGCCTTGAAATCTAGTTGATATGTGATAGCCTCTTGACTGAATTAGGTGACGGAGGAAACCTAAGCCTATTTTCATGTCATTTTACAGAAGCTGAATATCTTCCCATATCTAACTTCAATGTATTGTATCCTCATTTGCCCACCCAAAGTTAATACAAAACTGAGATTTCTGAATTAGATATACAAGAAAGGACCCCAAAATATAGCCCCCAGTAGTAGAATCTGGCAGTAAATCCCCAGTTGGTTCACGTTGCTCTTAATGTTAAAAGCCGAATCACTGCAAAGTAGCTGCCACACAACAAAAGGAAAGTTCTGCTGAAATCAGGGTAGGACCATAGGACTTAATGACTTCTTTTCACTAGTGATCACTATGAATTGACTCCACAGGACCTTCAGAAATATATCTAACTCAATTTGATGGGGGGGGGGGACACTAAAAGAACAGATTATAGGACAAGTTTGGCAACCTGAAATCAAAAAATCTTTCAACTCCCTCCTTTGTGGTCCACAATATCCTCTTCAATGACAATTTCCTAAAGCTAGAGGGCCATTTTCTCACCATTTTGAGTTGAGAAATGCACACAAATTGTAATATAAATTGGGCCCTAAAGTAGGCCCAATATACTTGGAAAAACAAACAAACCTCTCCCTAAGCCAGGAAAAAACCAGAATGTCTTGAATGGCCTTATAATATGACCTCACCAACTTCGCTTTGTTGACCTGCCCATGGTAGCCCTGCCACCACCACCCACAATATAGTTTGCTCAACCCATATAAGAACATTTTAATTTGAATGAGTTGTATTCATTGGCAATGATTATTTCTATAAAAATGGTAAGTAGGAGGGCAGAAACAGCAATGGAGAGACCTATTATCGGAACAGGTGTATGAGATTCAACAAGCAGATAAAGGAAATCTTTGTCTTTCAGTCAGCACAAGAAAACTATAGGATAAGGGCAGTCTTCCTCATTCAGATGCTTTCTAGATGTGTTGAAATGCTCCTTATTCTTAAACATGTTGGGAAATTATGTTTGGAAAATAGGAGTTACAGTCCAAATACACTTGGGGATGCCTGGAATAGAGTGTGTTCAAGATCATACAGCACTGGTATAGCAGATCCTAATTTCTGTCTCCCAATCCAGTGGGTCACTCGGATAATAAAAAACACATCAAAGCTGAAGCCAATGATATCTATTTACTTATTTTGTCTATGCAAAATGTGAGATGTTCTGTAGTTTTCAGCATCACCACTGTGCTAAAATGGGGCCATGCATGGCCTTTCTAACTATAAAGACAAAATAAGAAACGTTCTGGAATGCCAAGGTCTAGGGATACCTTTCTTGCTTAAATCTACTGTGTCTTGAAGTCAGACATTTTTGAGGAGATGCATAAAGAAGCCTCCTCACATTGGAGGGATATCATCAAAAACCTTTACAGCTTCATTAGTCCAGGGAATAGTTTTAGGAAGGTGGAAGAAAAGAACCCATGGACATTAAATATTAAAACAGTATTCCAGGAAAGCCTTGAACATTTGGGTCAACTGCTGTATTGATCAACATAGAAAAGAACATGTTTAAAGACAGTACAGTTTGCATTTAGGAGAGCTGAGGGTCTCTGGCATTTCCAGGTATTGCTGGGAAAGACCTGCTTGAAACCCTCGGAGAGCCACAACTGTCACTGTAAGCAGGGCTAGATAATCAATAGTTATGAGGTTGATTCCTATGTTCCTCAAGTGTTAATTCAGCTACTAGAATTTTTTTTAAATCTTAGGGCAATTTTGGGATGACATATTAACAGGCGGAAGAAGAAGAATTCACATATTTCATCATGTAGTCTAAAACCACTACAGTACCTACAGTAGTTCTTAGATATGTTCCATATTCTGTTTTCAGATCCTTTGGTATTACAGTGACGGGAAGGAAATACGATCACAGTTCAGCAGAATATACACAGAAAGGCAAGCTATTCTGTGTTTAATATCACTTAAAACATATACCAGATATTGAAAAAAACCTAATGTATGATATTTAGCTTGCATGAAATTAATATAAATATAATGGATGTGGTGGAGAAAATAGATCTAACAAAATGGATGCTACACCCTTTTTCCTCCCTGTGTTTTGGATATGACCAGAGTCAAACCCAGCTTCTCTCTTTGTCTAATCCTATCAGAGCAAATTGACCTTCCCTGCCCCTAGAGAAAGCCCACTGTAATCCCATCTAAATCAAAGAACAGGAGCCTCGCTCACCAGCTCACAGTACAGCCCAAGGGCAGCACTAATAAGGGAGTTGCCACATAGTAACAAGGTGAGAAACCCCAAAATTCCATCCTCAAGCAGGGATGCTCACCTGGTTACCTCAACATTCCATCTCCTTAACAAGGGACTTCCCCCAGCTCTGCTGTCCTCCTGGAAGGGTCATTTTGCCTAACAATAGAAATAACCCCAGGTACAGGGACAAGGACCAACCTAGCTTCCCCCAAACTACGCAGCGGATCAGATCCCTAGGATTTGCCACCTTGTAGCCTTCAACATCTATAAAAATCTTTGCTTTGTTCAGAGTTCCTTTTTCTTTTAAAGTTGACACCTGAGGATTGTTGCAATAAATGTGGTTCTTTCTCGTCAAAGCTGCACTCTGTACAATGGATACCCATTATATGCTATTCTATAGGCCATTTTTTCCTTAATACGCCTTCATGGAATTCAAGCTGTTTGAAGTCAGTGTTCCTGATATTTTGGGAAATTCGAGCAGTTCATCCCTAGTACTGCTAATTCTACAATTTCAAAACCTATGAAGTTTAAGAGCAAGTTTTGGAACTTTAAAAAACAACTTTGGTTCTTCAGTCTTTTACAGTCACTAGTGCCCCATTCTATTTTATCTTTATGATCGCAAATATTTAAAAATTGTACTAAGAGAGAAAAAAAGTAATCTCAGCTCTCAGGATTTAAATAACATTTTATACAAAAACTCGTCTCTTTATCAGAACACACCACTGAGAAGAAATGGAAAACAGAAACAAGCAGATTTCCTGGCATGCATTACGTCCCAATGCTCCTTGACTGTTGCGGTAGCATCACTGCATAAATTTAGGAGTTTGGAAATTAGTAAATAGCAACTGGACAAAGATTTTCCTGCAACTGAATAGCCCACACTGGTCTAATACTACCAATCAATCCTTAATGCTGACCAAGGGGGATAAACAAGAAAACTTAATATTTACATTTATGAATGGTAGAAGTCTGAATATTCTTTTAATCCTTACCTGAATTTTTTGCAAGCTTACAGGAAGAAGCTTTTTGAATGTACTCCTTTATTTTGCAGTATATTAAAGAGAAATCACATATAGACATAACACGTAACCCTTTTATTTTTAAACCTCTGGTGAAAACAACTTTCCACATGACATCCCATCATTTGCTTTTGCTTTGAAAAATATGCAAACCAACCTAGCTACAGGTCAGCTATATTCTACAGACTGCATCCAATATTTGAAAAATGCTTCATAATTCTGATGAAGTATTTACATATTTTGCCATTAGGTAGTAAATTTTTATTGCAATGGACACTTTTCTAGCACATACTTTATTCATGGCAAGATAGTGGGGACAACTGTGTATCTATATATAAAAGCTTATGACTAGATAGGCCAGCCTTCCTCAATAGGCTGGACTACAACTATGAGAATTCCCAACAGGATGAATCTTCCGTTATGCTTAGCTGGAATTCTGGCATTGCAATCCAACTCAGTTGGAGGCCATGAGATTTGTGGAAGGCTGGCTTAGACAGGTTAATCTTTTTTTTCCTGAGAAAACTTTTGTTCTTGAAACTTTTGTTTGAAAATCAGAAACACAGACATCAAACATTTTTGTTGCAATAAAAAAAACCTATAAAGATGCCTAGTTTAACTTTTTTTTTCTTTTAAATTATTTATGTACCATTAAGTTAAAATGTTTACATTCATTCCATTCATTCGTATAAAAACTGCGGTTAAATCTTATGCTTATGATTTAACACTGATTGCTGCAACAGAAATTGCACTTTTCATAAAAACAAAATTGTGTATATGCAAAAGGGATCTCTTTTTTTGAAGGCTACCCTGTTTACAAATTCTGACTGACTATATACAGGTCAGTCATATCATAGACACTCCACCTCCTCTATCACAGTATATGTTTAAAGACAACAATGCAAATATTTTAGAATAAGTTCTTGTTAGCAAGTTCTATCTTGAGAAGGGTGTACCAGATGTTTTCCTTCATTGGGCTTTATCGGAAGTTACTTCAGAAAAACTACCCAGAAAATATAGAGCAGAAGGCACTAGCTGAGAACACTGACCTGTGAGATAGATCAGAACTGTCAAGTTCAAGATATGCGGTTACGCATACGGACAAGATGCACACTTGAATTGCTCTTCTACACTGCATTATCCATTATAATGCAAGCTTTGCCTACTTTGTCTACAAAAAGAAAAAAAATGTCAACATCAATCAGATCTTGGATGTTGGTCGAGTGGGAGTGAAACAAAGACGCAATCCACAAATACACAAGGCAGCACAGATAGTCATGGCGAAGATCTATGAATAGTGCAGAAGGGCACTCCTTGTTGAGTAAAAGATGCAGTTCCGCTCCCTTGATTCTCTTGCAGACTGATGACCTGGAGAGTCAGTGTTGCAGGGAAGAAATGTATCTAGAAGCAGGTATGATGGGCAAGACTGTCCCTGCCATCATGGCCACAGCTTCCTGGACTGCTTGATCACAGCAAAAATATCCAACAAAAGTGTAGCTGGCTGCAGCCCAGGGCAAATATCCACACCAGCACTGATTTGCCACCAATTCATGCTAGAGCCAAGGCACACCAGGAAGAATCCTGTCTCACAGAGGCTGTCACTTCTGCAGTGGAGGTCAGGCTGACGCCTGAGTAGAGCCCTTCCTGGCCAGAATATTTGAGTGCGCTAGTCTCAGGACTGGTACTGTCACCCCGGCTGGACATCACTGAAGAGACCGCCTGCAGCAAGAAAAAAACATTACCTTAATGTTCAGTAAAGCTCCAGTTGATGTGGGAGGGGGAATTCCCAAAGCAATGCTAGGATAATGAATAATAGAACTATTGCCATCAACTATCCAGCTGCCAATAGACCTAACAGAGAGAACTGTTCTCTGTTCAAAGAAAGGCAGAACTATCTGGCGGGCGGGGGGAGGGGGAAATGGGTCACAGAAACTAATCAACACCTTGGGTTGAATCTGGAAACAGATAAAAAAGCATATGAATTTAAAAGCAATGGAAGGGAAATGCAAAATGTGTCAGTTTAAACCATTTAGAATTTGAAAGAACTTGTTTTGAGTTCAAAAGGCTCATTTTGGGCACAAAATCATTCTTTTGAGTGTGAAAAAAGTTTTGAGCCACTGGAAATTGCTCCAAACTCAAAGCACTCCCAAATACTCAAATCAGCCCATTTAAGATTTGGGATTTTCCAACTGAAAGGGGTTAGAATTGAAGCATTTTGTGCACGCCTAGTCAAAAGCAGCATCATTTATCCCCAATCTGCCTGTTCCTATTATGGTTTTAGAATGTTCACTTTGCAAGATCCAGGGCTGGAGTCCAGGAGACTGGCCAAACTGGAGGAGGAACAGCAGCAGGAGAGGTAGCAGGCTAAAATCAGCTGCTTGGTTAAATCAGGAGGTGCAGAAATAAGATGAACCAGTTGTAGTGCAGCTGGACAAAAAACTGAGGGGAGCATCTAAGAAACTGTATACTGAGTTGGAGTCCCCTTCCCCCCCACCCCAAATAAAGGTGGGCAGAGTTGCTAGGACTGACTTCTTTGACCCTTTCTTTAGCAGACTCTATCCTCACAGTCCCTGTCCAAAGCCCTGATTACCATTTTACAATGGTTTAAGAGCGATAATATTTGATTACAAAACCAGGAAGCCACGGCCCTAAGATTTTATTACGACAAAAAAGAATGAATCAGGTGCTGCATAAAGACTAACCAATTTTAGTTAAAAACATAAAGGTTGTAAGGATGAGCCATCTTGAAATGAAGAAACTTTAATGGAAACTCTGACATATTACACCAATGAATGAATAAATGTTGCTCCCTTTATTTGGATCTGAATAAAAATAATGGCTGGTTTCATATATCAGGTTAGGCCAAAATATGATTTGTTCAGCTTGGGCTTAGCATTATGAATTAACTCATCCACAATTCTGGTTTATAACTCATGGCTTAATGGTTTAATGTGATATGTGAATCCAGCAACCATAGATAATTGTAATCATTTAATTATCTGTGGTTTAAGAGCGATTTCATTTATGCTTGGTTTATCTATATATTTTGTATTCTTCAAATATTTTTTATTAGCTTGAGAATTTTTGCAATAGATTTTACAACTGGCATCTGTCCTAAGTTGGCTAAAGGAATAAGGGAATGTACTTTTGAATGTCTTTGTACCATTTATGTATATTTATTTCCTGAAGAAACTTCAAATGTATTTTTATTAAGGTTTTCTCTGTGTTTTATATAAGACTTCTTTAAGATTTGATTTAAATTTCTTCCATTAATATGTCTGAGCTGCCAGAGTCCCTGAAGAACCTTGTCTGAAACATGTTGTGCTTTATATTCAAACAATTCCAGTACAGCAGTCAGCATCCTCTCATCTTTATTGAACTGCCCTTTCAGATGCATAAGATCTTGTTCCAACACAGTTAATCCTCCAGAAATTCATTATGGCAAGGAGGACTTTCATGTTTCTAAGACTCACTTTAAAACTCTGCTGAGTTTAACAATGATATAAAAACCTTAAAATCTTAAAAGGAAGAAATGCTCCACCGTGAAGCCCTATTTTTCACACACACACACACACACACACACGCGCTGGTCCTTTTCTCACTGCTCAGATGTCCACTTTGGCGTGCAGCTGCATGTGACGGACCTTCAGTCTGGGCTACAGACAACCCTCAGAGGACATTCAATACGGTACAGAGTTTCAGTGCAAATTCCAGAAGCTGACCTTGTGATAAGAGATCAGCCACTGGAGTGGAAAAACAGACTGACTGCTCTAGACAATGTGTCCCAAGCTGCTATGAATGATCACCAAATTCAGTTCATTTAGTCCTTCCTTCTTCTTTAAGATGGTTAATTCACATCTCACTGTTTTGGAATCAAGCCCACAATTAGCTATTAGGCTCCTGGAAGCAGCCATCTGAGACACCAGACTGGGGCAGGCAGTGAAGTGAGTCCAAGCCCCCACCCCCGCCTCCCTGACCCACCACCCAGACAAGACATTTTTATTTTACTGTGCCCAAATCAGGCACTTCTCTGGAGTATCATGACTCCTTAGCTGTCCATCCTATGTCATTTGGATGGGGTCCTTAAAGTGCTAAATCACAAGGTGGATGGGGCCTGAGGGCCCCTCAGAATAGTGCAAGTGGATCAGCAACTGTCCTGCACAGGAGGTGGTGTGCAGAGAAGAGGAGATGGACTTTCCCATCCTCTGGCATCCCTATAACAGTAATTTTCAGTGCCATGGCTGAGAATAAAGCTAAAGGGCAGCAAGAACATCCGGGTGGACTTGAGGGTATTCAGAGAGTGTTTCTCATATTGTTTAGTTATTACAGTCTCCTTCTATTTACTCACTATGCCCTTGGGATGGAAGATGTTATGGTCCATAAACCAGTGATGTTTTTAAAATGGCCGTAATCAGATGCCAGTGAGAATGGGGCAAATGGCTCCTGATCACTTCTGAGTCAAACAAGTGCCATTGGCTGTGTGGCAAAAGCCAATCTACCTGCTTTCTTGCATACAGAAAATAGGTTGTGCCTCAGTATCCTTCTGAAGCTTTCACTGTTTGAGGGAATTAAAGTGAGTTTCAGCTGAATATAATTGTTGTCTCTATGAATTTTTGCTGAATCTCCACATTTTTAGCAATGCTTTTGGCAGAGTTGTCTAGAAAAATGTAATAAATCATTTCTATCCCAGGAAAAGAATTTGTTTTCTTCAGTCCATTAACAACCTTTCCAAGAACTGAAAAGCACTAGTGTCTAAAACTTCCTTCCTATTCAGTCCTGAACATATCTTTTAATCTCTCCTGTCAATTTGGAATTTTTCTGATTGGCAAAGAATTATACTACTGTATATCCAGCTTTCCCCAACCTGACTCCCTCCAATTTTATCTGACTACTTCTCCCATCATCCCCAGTCTCCAGGTTTGAGCATCTGTTAGTGATGGATAACACAAGAGAAGAATATCACACATCCAGGGGATGTCAGATTAGAGAAGGCTAATACAAAACCATTCAGGACCCGCCTTGCTCTACCTTCAGCAGTGTTCTTTATTTAGGACCACAAGAATGGGAGGTAGCTTACAAAAGATAATTAAACCCATTAAATTTAAAATATAAAGAAAATAATCCCATTATGAAACCAGCACCAAAATTTCAAAAGAGCTTTAAACCCAAACTAGAGCACGTTAACCAAATTGCAGTTTGAAATGCATATAGCTTTACAGTTTCACACTATACACACCACAAAGCAACTTTCCTGTAGGGCAAATCCCCTTTGCTTTTCTTTGCTTTTTCAATGCAATCAAGCATCTGGCTTGACACAATCAGATCATTTTCATATGATTTGTATGAGCAAATACTGTGACTTTGGGCAATGCTATTTGTTAATGATTGCCATGAGGGTAACATTAGTAAGGTTAGTTGTAGCAAATGTAGAAAGTGTGGAAGAGCATCATCTTTACAAAAATGTTCTGGGCCCAAATGAGCCCTATAAGCTGTCTTAGGGGAAAAAATGAGGGTGCTTACAGTCTAGTGCTTTATTGGAAGTGCACTCTTTGCCCAGAAAAAGAAAAGATTAACAAGGGTAGGAGGCACCATGCAGGGAAATTGGTGTTCTGCAACTGGTAATATCTTCATGCTGCTCATGTTATGAATGGGCAAGTCCACTTAAGCACCACAACCTGTATTCATAACTCCAAATGTACTGATAATCTATTTTGGATCAAAACTTGAGATCTACCAGCCTGTGCCAGTCAGTGCCAAATAGTGTGGGATGGAGCCTAAAATCCTAGATGTGATATGAGAAGATACCTTTGAGCATATGCTCAGTCCAGAAGTTTGGTTTTATTACAAAACTGAGTTTATAGTTTCTTTGTACATTCAGTTCTTGTCTCCCCCCACCCACTCACTATCCAAATCTTTCTTCCTTTCAACTGCCCAAAATATGTCTGTCTTTAGTGATGGCTGTTATTAAACAAAAGAGAGTTGGTGCCCTTTTTGATCTATTTCAACAATTTGTCGAATTTACCTCTTGCCCCCCTCTGCTCAAAACATTCAAGAGCAGCATGTTAACAGCCACTTTTTAAATGCATCACATAAAATTGCATCTATCTGGTTGGTACTGAGTGGGTTATATGGCCACATCCAAAGGATTCAAGAAGTGAAGATTACCTGCAACAGCTTAGTGCATGTTTGGAGACACATATTTCTCCTTCACATGATACATGTTTCCTTCTGCAAATATATATTGAAATGATCAAAATTTATCTCTAAATATAATTTATTCTAGTGGAACTTCATTGACTGCTTAATAATACACCTTAAAGCTGAGCGTGAACATAGTAATAACTCACTAGTTGCTGTGGTCAGGCAATGCCTCTATCTATCTATCTATCTATCTATCTATCTATCTATCTATCTATCTATCTATCTATCTATCTATCTACCTACCTACCTACCTACGTACCTACCTGTTTGGTTTAGCAAGACTTCAGATGAGGGAGCACATACTTAACAGCTGTACTCAACATGTAGATCAGATACCTCGTACATTATGTTCATAGACACTTACTCAGCAGAATACATATTAGAGTCATGATTTTGCGCTCCACAAAATCTGCACCTCCACTAAGTGGCACCAAAGAGACACCAACTCTAATTCCTTGTTCCCATCTAGTGGCAGTTCAAATGCTTGGCAAAAGTTATGTTCCTTCCTCCACTATTACTGGTTGTTGTTTAGTTGTTAAGTCGTGTCCGACTCTTCGTGACCCCATGAAACATATTGCGCAAGGCCTCCCTTTCCTTCACTGCCTCCCTCAGTTCGC